TATGACCTAATTCGTTTGTCATCATGCATGTATGGATGACATTTAATCAATAACAAAAGTAATGAAAAGGAAGACACATATCAAGGAGAAATATTATATAAAATGTAATGAGAGAATAGCTATTTTACAAAAGGAGACTCGAAACACCTTCGCAACCTCTTACACCTCTACATTCAGCTCATCGTTCTGAGGATTTAATTTATATTTCTTTGTGCACCTATCAACAAAGTCAACAGCAGTTCCATTATTTTTAAACATTTTTTAGGATTGAGTGAATACGTTGAAGTGTTATGTACAATCTATATAATTATAAAAGCCTTGATTGGATGTTTTCGGGTTCTAAAATAGTTATGCATTTGTAGTAATCTCACGAGCATGGGAAGTGGCAGTTTGTCACGTGTAGTTTTCCGACATTATTAAATATGCAGTTTGTGTGAGGTGTGGTTTTACTCACTTAAGATGGAGAAGAGCATGGCGAGAGCAGCGAAGAGTCCGGCCAGACGCCTGACAGCTCATAAACAGATGTGCTGGTACCGAGGGGGGAACCGACCCACCACCCGAACAGAGAGCCTGCAGCCACCGCAACTAGCCACTGCGCCCACTCACACACACACACACACACACACACACACACACACCACACACACACACACACACACACACACACCACACACACAGCACACACACACACACACACCACACACACACACACCATGTAAATCTTTTGCATCAGAGTAATATTACAGAGAGAGACCTTTAAAGATATACAGTAATTGCAGATTAATTTTCAAACTAATTGATCATTTTACTTATTTTTTCATTATAACACATGAAAGATCTGATAGCAGTGATACATTATTCGACCATTATTTATACGAACAAGAATCCTTTATTTTACTAAATAATAATATGACCTACTGTTTGATGAACCAGATGGTGGCCAATGGGTGACCGGAGGAAGAAGGTGTCCGGCTGCCATCGGGAGCTCGAACCAGAGCGCGTTGAGGGAGAGAGAGAGGAAGATGACGACGAAACTGAAGGCGACACGGATACGAGGTTCACCCGCAGAGAGACAGAGAGAGGAGACCTCAACAGTTCATTCATAGGACCAAAATAAACGTTACTGTCACTAAAGGGGGAATCAGATGTGGACTCCAGAAGGTAAACTTCTTAGTACATTTTACTGCAGTGTGAGAGTTACAAATGGCAATGGTGGGATGTAGGATTAAGAACTCAAATACTGAACAATAAGTCCCGTTTGAGGTAATTGTACTAACGTTTCCCAGTTTATTCCTACAGTATACTTCTGTCACAAGTTCAACCACATTCCATAGGTTTTGGTTTTGCATATCAATAAACTCTCCTGTCCGCTTTCAGATCCTGCCTTACCTCCCAGCTCTTGCAATCAGCTCATTCCCCGTCCACTTCTACTCCATTCCCTCATAAAGCTCCACAGCATATACCACCTTACTCTCACTGGTCCTCTGCCAGATAGTCTTGGGCCGTTTCTCAATCGCGAGAAACTGGCTTCCAGCAATTATTTCAAGATACTACGTCATCGAGGTGCGCCGAAGGAACTGTTCCAATTCTCCAGCAACTTGGAATTCCTGGTTTGGGGGTAATTTCGAGGCTGCACATGGGTAGACTCGCGTCCTTCAAATCCCCACAAGCTTGCGCACGGACCAATTTCAAAAACCCTTGCGGAGAATGGCTGAACCCGACGCAACAGTTTATGTTTGAAACCATTGGAGAGAGGTGCACACTTGTTAGCCTGTTCCATTCTTCTTTGTTTTCCGAAGCCGTGGCTTGGAAGTATACTTACTTCGTTTCTGAAGGAAGTGACTTGGAAGTATGCGACTACCAAGCCAGTATCCTCGCGATTGAGAAACGGCCTTGGTGTTTTGCCAAGCTCTCCAGCCGTTCCGGTTGTATTTGCCAGTTAACTGTTCAGCCCCGTTTTGAGCCTGCCTGATTTTGGACCTTGAGTTTCCTGCCTGCCCCCTGATTGGATGTATTGCCTGTTTGACGGATCGCCTGGTTCTAAGCCCTTTTCTGCCTGCCCCCCTTTATTGGATTTCTTTTGACCCTGCCTGTTCCTGACTGGAATAAACTGAACCTTTTGAACATTGGCTGTATCTGAGTCGTGCTCTTGGGTTCAAATCCATACAGGTTACAACTTCTACTCAACAACGTACTTACTTCTCTTATCTAAAAGTTTAGTTACTGGTTCATTTACATATTCAGATTTTGGGCTAACACGAAGAAAGGGCCTCTTTTTAATAAATAAAAATGGACATCAAATTAAAAAGGTTAATATGCCTTAGCCTCATCTGCTGTGAGTGAGACACATTTAATGTAAGACAAATAAATAAAAAGACAGTAGTTTAATATCAGGGTATACGCAGGAATCCTGAAGTCAAATGTAATTCCTTTTTTAAGACCCTTTCCATACATTTTAAGACCTCATCGCCATTTGGAGTTTTAACCGGTTACCTTGGCGACACACTGTACCTCACATTGACTATATACAGTATTGATTGTCCTTCCTCTTTATCTTCCAACCATTTGGACGCAGACTTGCATTTCCCCATAACGATGTTGCTTAGCAACCGGCGTAAACAGACCTCCGCGCTATCAAGCAGTGAGCGTGCGATGTCCTGTTCAGATGACGTCAAATCCAACGGGATTCCATAAATAAACTACACAGAATCACACTACACACCTCAGGGTTCACACACGTTTTCACCAATGATTTTCCATGACTTCTCCATGACCTTTACCTAATTTTCCATGACCAAAAAAATTACTCTTTCTCAGCGGTACCACTGAAAATATAAATTATATTTGATGCAACTTTAGTAACATTTCCATGACTTTTCCAAAACGTTGGAAAAAATATTGCTTTCCATAACTTTTCCAGGGCCTGGAATTTGCATTTTGAATTTCCATGACTTTTCCAGGTTTTTAATGACCGTAAGAACCCTGACACCCACGCAATGATTACATTCAGGCAGACTGTAGAATACGACCTCTTTGGACAATTTATATACTTATTGAAAACAAGCTACAAAATGTAATACCTTGGAAAATGCAGTTTAATACTTTTTAATAGCCTTAATTTTCGCCAAATTGATTGATCAACTTTTAATACATTTTAAGACCCCACGGACAGCCTGAATATATATAATTCTGAAATGGGCTTTTAAACATAACGAGTATTTGGTCTTTTAAGTATATTTGGATGCTAATACTTTTGCACAGAGGAATATTTGAAATGCAGGACTTTTTCCAACCACTTGAGTACACGCTGAAGAATGACGGCCTATAGCTCAACCCTCCTGGCCGACATGTACATGTTTATACGTGTCCAGGCTCCAGGCTCATGTAAATGAATCTGCTGCAGGAGCTCACCAGTGATGCAGGAAGGAGTTGAGCAGCGTGAACAGCAGCAGGGGAAGCTGGGAGAGCAAGGTCATCCAGCTGTCGTAGTTGTAGTCTTTAGCAGCGATGCCTGAGGAGCCATTGGAGGTGATGTTTGATTCGAGGCGATGGTTGAAGTACTTTAACAAAGAGGAAACAAAGAATGATTTAACATGTTTTATTTTAAAACGTAATGAGAGGGGGGAAACTGTGTGTAGTAACTCAATTATTTAATCATTTTTAACTTAGTTTCCATGCAAAAATTACAAATAAGTCTGATTTCAGCCTCTGAAAAATGGAGAATTCCTGCTTTTTAAATATTTTATTTCAAATTAAACTGCATCATTATGTTTTTTTGAACTGATAAAACAAAACATTTAAAGACCTTGGATCGTGAGGAAAATGGAAAGGACATTTTTCACTATTTTCTGACCTTTTTAACACCAAGTTGATTCAGATTTCTAGCACACATGAAGCTCAATTTGTGTTGATTTGCAAAAAAAATAAGCCTTTCTTACAATGAATTGACCAACCCCAGTGATTGATATTCCCTTGAGTGCAAAGTAAAATTCCAGTTTTTGTTTTTTTTATGTGTTTTTGCAAAATAATCCCTCAATTATTTTTGTCATGAAGAAGAAGAAGGAGTTATAGAAACCTCTGAGGCCGTCAGGAAGAAGTTCCACGGCAGCAGAGTTCCCAAACCGAGCACGAAGATGATGAGGCCTACAGCCTGGCAGCTGCGGAAACAAAAACACTTTTAGAACCCGATCTTTACACATTTAGTTTATATATCCAAAAGTAAAAACAAAGCCTCAAACTCACCGATCTGCGGGGGGACTCATCGTCATCCTGTTGCTTCTGTCACGTTCCTGCACTAAAGTCAAGAGAAGCCTTTAAAAAAAACAGCCAGCAGGATGGGATTAAACTTTACAGGACATGTTTTCATCAACTGACTCAGTTACTATAGTCTTTAGCATCCATGGTGGTACGTCAAAATAATTATTAGACCTAAAATAAATACCAACGCTAACCTTTGCAGTGAGTGTGCAGTGTTATACAGTATTTACTTTATAGAGTGCCGCAGTGACGCGTTCCTAAAACCCGGAAGTAAACTCCTTTCGGTTCCTTCGACAAAAACCAATGCAATTTCTCCATAGGATTTAGGAAAATAGCTGGAAATAAGGTCTCTGGTTGAAACACATTTAAGAGACGGATCACGTTTTGTTCAGCCGGATAATATCCACATGTCTACCTTTCTTTTATAATTTTCTAATCGTAAATCTAATCGCCAGAAGCAAAATGCTAACGTTATGCTATAAAGAACTACAGCCGATTCAGCAGGGTCGCACGACTTCAACGTCACGCCAACTTAAGATCGATATTCAAAACTACAGATTGAAAATGGTACGAGTTGAAGCGTTTGTTTGAACAGTTTCCAGGAGGCAGGTACTTGCTTTCAAGCAGAACAGGGCAAACAAACTTAGCGGGAGTGTTTACGTGTTCGGCGTAATGACGTATAACGACCTCCACGACTTCTGTAGTCCTATTCAGCCACTTGGTAACAACCATTGTTTTTCAGACACGTCAACTCTTCAGAAATCCCCAGTGGGGTCACTGCTGATGGATTTAAAGTGGTAGAACAAAACGTGATCCGTCTCTTCAATGTGTCTCAACCACAGACCTTATTTCAGATATTTTCCAAAATACTATGGAGAAAACCCATTGCTTTTTGTCGAGGGAACCGGAAGTGGTAAAATGCTAACTTATTATTAAGAGCAACAATATCTAAAACTACTCCATTTTACAAGCTGCATTATTATTTTTAAATACAGTACGGATTGTTGAAGTGAGAGACGTATTTAGCATAGTAAGAGTTTTCTATTAGTATTACTGATACATAATGACTGTTTTAATCTGCTGCATTTATTTTAAAAACACATAGTTAGACAGATTGTAATGTAGCATTGCATCATATTGTAAAACTGATGTGTTTTGTATGTGAAATTGTATTTGTTTTACTCTCCTTTTCACTATGATCTTATACTTTGAGTTAAGTAAAATAATAATAATGCAGATTTTTAATGGACTGACAAAAAATATATAACAGTTCAAGCGACACAAGGAGGTTAAAGGTGTGATAGGAAAACAATAATAATAATAACAACAAATATTGATCCCTCTCGGTAAAATAAAGGAAGGCATAAGACAAAATAAATAAATACAATACAAAATTGAAACCTATATATTAAATAAAACAGTAACAACATGTTTTAATAATAAGAATAATACAAATTACAAGAAAGAACATTTGAAAATAAATCAATATAAATAAAAAACGATAATATTAGTTTATAGTCCTATATATCTTACTATTAACTATTTCATTTACTTAAAAGAGTCCGTTTGGGTAGAGTGTAATTAATTCCTCCATTATAATTGTGTATTAATAGATAGCAGAGATCACGTGTGTAAACAGTCGTTTTACGTGAAGGTAGTGACGCGGCACGTTGCACTACGTCACTTTCCGTAAACTCATCATGGTGGAACCGGAGGAAACAGCTGTGGTGTTTCCTCTTTAATTCCGCCAAATTTCTCTTCTATTTGGCGGCTAAATGTAATTTGGATGGCTTGTTATAACCATGGTTATAACATACAGTCTATGGTTATAACATGCGGGATACTTTTCGTGCGATTTGGACTCCAACTGACAGTTCGGCTATATTAGTATTAATGATTTGTGACAGATAAGTGATGAGCATCATTAAACGTTATATTTCTGTCAAAGCTCTGTGAACAAACCTGCAAACTAATATACATGTGAGTGATTTTTGTTTGATAGCTCGAGACGTATAAATAAAAGGTTGAGATAATGACTTAATTGTAGGCCTATCTAATATAAACATTGTCTCATTATATTATGACTTATAACTTGGTCATTATTGTTATAACCAATGTGTTTAAAAACAAATACAGATAAACAAGAGCGATTGCGACAGTATCGATTTTTTTTCTACACACATAAAATACAAAATCAACTTTTTAGATTATGATGTCTGTTTATGTCAACATCGACTCATTCTATGTATAGCCTACAACAGTAAATGAAACATAACCCACACGCTTTTTTATAATAAATGAAATCTGGCTTGTTTACAATCGTTGTTATTATTAATCTTTTGAACAGCAGCAGTGTTTCTGAACAGAATAAGTCAAATCTAAAAAATAAAAGCAGACAGAAAAGTCACGTTTATCTCAACATGTGGTCGGTTAGTGTGCATATTACATATAGTAAGTCCGGTTATAGAAGCCTAACATGTTTATATATTAGATTCAAACTAAGAATAACTTTAAGTTCATTGGGGAAAGTTTAATTTACCCGCCGGCGCCTTATTCTCTTTCTGGCGCGTTCATAGAGTGAAAGTACCCACTACCACGTGTCTTTAGACTGTTCCCCATTCAGAAGCCCCATTCAGAAAAACACCACGTTTAGGTAACAACCGGTAATAAGAACGGAGCTCACCTGAGGGTCTGGACCGGGTCCTTGTGTCTCTTTGGGTCTCCCGGTGGTTCTGTGAGCTTCTGGAGGCGCGCGGTTCTTGCTTGTCTTCCGGCAAGGTAATACTTTTTTTGTGGGAGTGTTCTTATTATACATCCATGAGTGCTGCCTCTTACGGTGGTTAATGGAGCAACAGTACATGTAGGTTTTTGGTTTAAGGACATGTACAAATGTGAGAACAATGTACAATTTGTTTACATTATTATTAATCATATTGCACACCCATGTTTAGAGCTAATGTCATTATTATTATTATTATTATTACAGGATAATCGTTTTTATTAAAGTTATTAATCTGAATATTATTATTATTATTATGAATAGTATTATATTATTATTGTTTGTATTATAATCATTATCTTATTACTATTTTATTATTATAATGACTATTTTTTTTATTATTAGGATTATTAAATAAATATGATATATATATATTTAGATGTTTAAGTTCCCTGTGAGACTTGTTCAAACCGTATATTTAATTAACCTCAACGCCCAAATTAATTGAATACAGTGGGTTTTTTCGACAAAATATTCACTATATACTACTTTTTAGACATCATTTAAAATCATTGAATCAAATAAGTTAGTTGTTTTAAGGCCTTAACTCACTAAAAAACCATGTGTAGCCAACTTTACAGTGATTTCACGACTTTAACACTTGGCCTGTCACACTGCAAGCTTCACTGAAACCTCTATAAATCCAGGATATCTGAGGGAGTACATCACATTAACACAAGATCTACCAAGAGCTGTTAGTGTGTATGAAGAAGATGATGAGGAATGAAAACAATACAATGTACCCTTTATTTATTTGTTACTTTTTAGTGGAAAGTTAGTATTGCAGTATTTTTAAACTATCCTTCAAGTAGACTGTACTCTAAGAAAGTGTCAGCTTTAAGGGTGTGACTCATTTTTCAGTAGCTAAGACTTTAATAGTTGAACTGCTAGTCCTGCTTTTCATGTTAGCAAACTGTAGGCGTGTAAGCTATGACAAAGTACATAAGGCAAGGCAAGTTTATTTATAGAGCACCTTTCAACACAAGGCAATTCAAAGTGCTTTACAAAAATGAAAGACATTCAGAAGATGGCATTTAAAAACAAAGATAATGAAATAAACATTAAAAGGGCACCACGGCAGGGCAGGAGGTGAACTGGGACCTCTCCGAGGCCGTTTCTCAATGTCGCCTGTTGCTGGCGAGTCATTGAAGTACTGGACGCGCAATGAGGGCACGAGATACACTTGTGCGTGCACGAGATGGAAGGCTGACAGACAGGGCGGGCCGGTTAAACGGATTGGTTGTAGTTTTTACAGTATTACGGATTCCATAGATGACATTTTTTTATGGATTTTTTGTCAAAGCACTTAAGATATTCATTGCTATCGGGATGTTGAGAGCATTCCATGGAATATAACAAAAAGTATATCTCGAGCCGGTTTCTGAAATGTACCTACCCCACCTTTAATATGTAATATATTGTGGTGATTGACATTATTCACCCACGGAACTATGGGTTGGGGTATTGTTCCGCACGGACATAGTGAGTTGACTCAACTCACTATGTCCGTGCGGAACAATACCCCAACCCATAGTTCCGTGGGTGAATAATGTCAATCACCACAATATATTACATATTAAAGGTGGGGTAGNAAAATTAGATATATTTCATTTATTATGTCCATTCTAGATGAAGATCTACCCGATCGTATACTCGATAATGCTGAAAAGCTGTAAGATGCAATTACACTATTATGTATTTCTTTCTCCTCTATCCATTTCAATGACAGTACCAATGCCAACCACTGTGTGGTGTATACTGACACATGGTCTGTTACCCTTTTCTTGATATGTGTATTACTCACTGGGATGTATACTGCTGCCCCTGCACGCCCTGTCTCTGGATCTTTGGAACCATCTGTAAATATGATTGTTGAGTCTGAGTGATATCTTGCAAAATAATTCTGGACTATGCGCTCTACCTACTTCCGGTACGCATTTCAAAAATAAAGCTCGTAAATCCAGTAAAAGCATTTAATTGAAGGTAATATAAAGAGAAAGGTGATGAAAGCACACACAGTACTGATATTAAACTGCTTAAAACATTAAGAAGTGTATGGTTACGCAGCTTTAAATCAGTGAAATCATTGTAGAAGAAGATATTAAATATGAATATATTACATATTAAAGGTGGGGTAGGTACATTTCAGAAACCGGCTCGAGATATACTTTTTGTTATATTCCATGGAATGNAGCAGGGCTGCGTTGCGTGCATGGCTTCCTTCTGCAGGTAACGGGGAGACGCCACTGGCGGCGGTCTCGTTCAGGATCCGAAAATACAATTTAAATATTTTGCACACTTATTCCACTTATTGCTAGTTACGGTGCCGCGTGCCAATGCTGGCACGCGTGCCAGGGGTTGCCGACCCCTGGACTAGTCACAGCGTATACTTCAGCGGAATATCAAAACAAAGGCCCGGGGTGCAAAACGCATCAATGAAAGCGACCCTCTACCACACAAAACAACACCTGTAAATAACCCTATTTGTGTTCTTTGAAATTGAAAAGGATATTGCATTGTGTTTGTTACTTTCGTTGCAGTTGTATGTCTTAAGTGTAATTTGGCATGCTTTTATTTTGAATGCGAGTTAATGCTGTTGACAGGAAGTTGTTTTTGCTATGGAAACAAGAAAAGTTTCACAGCAGGCGGAACTTGTCATAAAGTCCGCGATAATACTGTAACACCCCCCCATTTAGAGGGAAGATATGATTGGTCAATTGTACTGTCATTTGACATTACTCTCTCATTCAACTCTCCGAATTCATAGCTGGACCGCCTGGACGTCCAACAGCTCCTCTGTTCACAGTAACTCGTAGAGACGAGCTTCTTTCATTTAACCCTTCACATTCCAACAGAAACTGAATAGGCAGATTCAAAGGATTTATTTCTTTGGAAATGTTATTTTAAATACAATTAAATCAAGTTATTTTGGTAAAACTAATGAAAAATATAACTAAAAAAATAACTAAAAAAATATATTAAAAAAAATATTAAAAAAAATATTATTTTTTTTAATGTTTTTAAATATTATTTTGTAGAATATNAGGGACAAAGGCTTGAGTTATTTTCCTTGCCTCAGTGTAACATGAACCGAAAAGGTAATTTACAATTCAGGCGCCTGTCCCGTGGTTCTTAGCCCGACATCGCGATACAATTGATACAGGTCCAAACGCCTGAATGCAATGCCGCAAATAGATTAAACTTATGCAACTTAGTCACTCATGATGTGTTTTTGACGATTTGGTCCGTTCTGCTAGTTACAGTATGTACAGTAGAAAAAAAAACAAGTTTTGCCCGTCACTGTTGCTGGAAACCAACTTGCTATATTCCTTTCCAGATAAGAGTTTCAAGCGCAAAATATTGTATCCATTCAAATAGAAATTCCCAAACGAGCAAAGAGTTGAAGGTATTCCTTCACTTCAAGTGGTCTCTTAATTATCTGTATCGTATCTATTAATTATCAGTCTTCTCTCTGAGTTTTGTTTAATTAATATTTTTTATTAATTGAATTTCTTGAGCTCGGTTAGTTTCTATATTAAGTACTTATAACTGACAATATATCTTAAATCATTTTTATATACTTATTTTATTTATATGTCCAATTTGTATTAGACATTTTACTTGAACTTCTAATGTTTTTTTCATTTTCTCTTTATTTGCAGACTTAATTGAACCTCTTTCTAATTTCATTTGACTATAGCTTCTTCTAATTATAGAGATCTTTGTCTAAATGAGTTGCTCTCTAGAGAGTGAAACACTATTCATATATGAATCCTCTCAAAGGTCTTTGGTGCTTAGGAGCATTGCGATGAATCTTTCAGTTCATTTAAAAACCCAACCCTCCTCCTTAAAGCATCTGTTCATTCGGGTTAGCAATACTTGAGGATTACATTTCTTACAGGTTACATTTCAAGCACCTTTTAATATCACTATTTCCCTCAGAAGACACGTCTATGCTTCATCATGTTCCACATTGAGCTTACTAGAGGTTAATAGAGGCATAATAGCCTGTTTTGGATAAGCTACGGTTAAAAGGGGTTGTAGTGCATTTGCTTACATGCAGTGAAATGGAGACGTCTCTGAGACAGAAGAAGCCAAGGACCATATTCAGGATTGCCAAAAATATACCTATGAATAATTAAGAGCCTAAATACAACCACTTTGGCATTTGCACATTACAATGATCTGCCGTTAAACAACAAAGTTGGACAATCCCTAAATGCACTTTAGGTTTAAATAGAGCTGTTTGTCTTCCTTGAGCATTTTTACTGACTTCTCTTTGCCTTAAATCACAGTATTTCTCATGCTATTCTTTTCCTCTTTCAGGGCGGATGGAAAATTACCCACCTGCATTGTGACGGGGCTCCCGATCCAGGAGTACCAGTTCTGGATGTGCACTGTGTGTAAACACTGCGCTAAAGGGCAGGAGATCACCAAGTATAACTGCTGCCCCCTGTGTCACAGTGCTACAGCGTGAAGCTCCAACTCAGGAGAGAAATGTGTTTTATGTTACATCTTTTATAATCCACTCAGATGTGTTTCTTCTATCTTAAATTATGTAAAATACTTAAATGAACAAACCTACATTGTTTACTTTTTTATACGAAAGTACTGCACATTCACATTCACACAACTCAAAATGTTCCTTGGATTTCATTTTGCTCACCTTTTTTACGTCATGTTGCGTTCTTGATCAACGTACATGATGATGTAAAGGTTGTAACGCAAAGGACAAACACTTTCAAACCAGTGAAACTAACTAGTCCAATTGGAAACTAGTTAAGAACACTAGTTTCACTACTTTAAGTGGGATATGCCCTTCATTCTTCAGAGGTCAGTATGGTAGACAATGAGCACATGGTTTAAAAGGAAAAGCAATTTGCCAGTGTGCAAGTTTTTAATCTTACATTGCTTTTTTTGAGACTAAAATGTTTTCCTGAATTCAAATGTTTTTTTTTAAAGATTTGACCCGGACATTGATTGCATGGTAATTATAAGGGATGCTCTGATTTATTGACCTATATTCTCCTTGTTGACGGCCATCAGCCTATCGGCAAAGAAGGTGACATTCAGCGATGGCAGTGGCCGATTTGTATCTGTTGTCTTGCATCAATTTTGTCCTGGCTGTGACGCAAAAGGGCAACAGGTGTTTAGGTTTCACAACAATAATTGCTTTTTTGCACTATGTAAGTACTGAACATATCTTCTCATTCAGCAAGTAGTTGTATAGCAGGCTAAACGGGCTGTGTAGCAATGCTTTTTTAGAAATAGTAAAAAAAGTATATTTTTCATATGGAAGAAGGTACAAAAAAGGTTGTTTCAGAATGAATTTCAAAATAGTTCTAAAGGTCCGATTTACTTTAAAACAGTCCAATTATGATTTCTTAGCCTGAAGATTAATTGTTTTAACTAGCACAAAAGGGGTAAAAACGTCTACATACGCCAAATGTTCTTAAAATCAGAGAAAATTACTGCATTTGATGTAAAACCATAGCTCCATCAGTGTGAACTGCACTGAAATGGCTCTTTCTGTTAGGTATCATGATGTCAGGGACCCATGGTGACCTTCCTCTGATACAATCTCCTTCTGCCATCTACTGTCAGCAAACGGCATTAGTGAGTAGCAGGCCGAGACTTCATAAAGCAGTACTTGTTTAAGGTTGAATTATTCTCATCTGACTCCGTCCTCTGTTCAACTAAATGTAAGATGATTTCCTTTATTTGGAGTGCCTCGCAGAAGGGGATCTTATTGCTGACATACAGTATAATAATGTAATAAATACTCAATCTTGTGTGGGCCCCAATGATTTTTTAAATGACACGTTGCGTTACTGTTTTATCCCTAGCATTTGAAATGTTACGACAAATGTTTTATGGGGGGGTTTCTTATTAGTTTGAGCAATTTTCTTACATTGTACAACTTTTATATGTATTTTACATATTCAAATGAATTATCTGACAAATGGTGAAGGCCATGAAGACGTGCTAACAAAAGTGCAAACACGTGCTAAACAGTGCTAAAAAAGTTCTTAACCGTGCACAAGTGATCCATTGACTCTTAGTATTACTCTGTGGGGATTGTTTCTTTTGCACATAAGATTTGCAAAAATCGAATGTACTGCCTCGGATGTTAACTAATAGTTTTATATTTATTTTACAAAAAAGTGTCACATTTTTTAAGACAAAATGTCACAGCACAGCAAACCCCAAATGTCCTAGAAACTATTCACAACAAAATGAAAAAAAAAGAGGTAGCCCTCAAAGAATGAAGTGAGCACTCGGCCAAAATAATCATAAAATATTAACAGTAATAAATGTGGCACACCTTAAATGAGCAGACGCGCCCTGGATTCCGGTAGTACATGACAGATTAAAGTTTAAAGTAGTGTAAAACAGCCTGATAGTGAGGAATAATGTGCCAGCTGTGATCGATGTCCCGTTTCCGCTCTGCGCTGTACTCTCCACCACAACACGGCGGAGAACAACACGGTCACACCAGACTCCAAGTGAAGCAGCCGCAGGACAGCATCAGAACTCATGACAGGTGAGATGCTGTTATATTTCCTCCAGTTTTAAGTTTGTGCAGAGATGTTAAACACTTTAAATAACTCCCTTGTTTAACCGTTGACATTATTTGTATTTACTTGTGCTGCACAAGTAAATACAAATAATGTCAACGCACAAAATGATCAAAAAACGGTGCACAAGTTGTGCACCGTTTTTTGATCATTTTGTGCGTAAAATCCAATTTCCTTGAATTTCTTTCTAATTTTCCTAGAAACTACTTTTAATGCTGCAGAAATGCCAAATCTGACCTTGGTTTGCCATCTCACTGTAATTTGAAGCTATCGTTCGTAACACAATACAAAAGTGATAATGGCTTCAGGGCTGCAAGCAGGAATGACAGCTGGTATTGATGACTGTTGACGGATACCAAATTGACGTTATGTAAGATGTTGACGTATGTTCAAATATGGTCAACTAGTGTATTCTGGGCCATTGGTAGAGAAAAAAAAACATATAATTGAACTCACCAATTGTTATGTTAAGTTATACACTGTGCATTTTTACACAAGTTCTAAAGTTGAATAAATGTTGATCATTGCTTGCAAAAAAGTTCCTTATAAAGTAATGCTGCTTAAGTGTAACTAGTGTATTTAATTTTTTGGAAACTTTTAATCTTTTGTAACTCGAATGCTAAGTGATGTTTAACCTTCCATTACAGGGTGCAACAGAAACCCAGATGCAACTTGATGCTTGACGCTCTGCTGTAATACATCAATGTGATCAAATGACATCGAAGAAAGTGTAAGGTTCTCTAGTTACACTGTCTTTGTCTGCCGGCAGCTAAGCCCCTGAGATTGTCACCGAGAATCTTGGTCAGGATGTACGGACGAATCCTTCATCCGCACAGCCCCGATGATTGCTTTATTAATGTCAATGTTGGTGGTTTCAAACAGCGAATGGAGCACGGCGTTCTGAATCGATTCCCACAGACACGTTTGGGTCGCCTCCTGTGTTGCAGCTCCAAAGAAGCAGTCCTGGAGCTCTGCGATGACTTCACTCCCTCGGAAATGGAGTACTACTTTGACCGCAATCCACGTTTCTTCTGCTACGTTATCAACTTTTACCTCACAGGCAAAATCCATCTGGTGGAAGGGTTGTGCGTGGTGTCGTTCGTCCAAGAGATTGAGTATTGGGGCATCAAGGAGCGCCACCTGGACTACTGCTGCAGCAACAAATTCTATGAACTGATGCAGCTTGCTGAAGATAAGAGCTGGGATCAGAGAAGTGATGAGTTGCAAAGTTCAGGCTCATCTATCGAGGAGCTGTCAGTTTTGAAGGATGACATAGAAATGTTTGAAGGCTCCTGGTGTGCTGATGTTCGCAGGAATATCTGGATTCGACTTGAGGATCCAGCCTACTCTACTTCAGCCAAAGTGATGGCTGTAGCATCCCTGAGTGCGGTCATTGTCTCAATTGTTGCCATGTGCGTCCACAGCATGCCGGACTTCAATCAAGTGGATCACAATGAGAGGGAGATTGAAAACCCCATTCTGAATTTCTTTGAGAACCTCTGTGTTCTGTTCTTTTCTGGAGAGTTTCTTCTTCGTCTGGCTGTTGCACCGTCAGCCAGGAAGTTCTTGTGCAGCCCTCTCAATATCATCGACCTAATGTCAATTATGCCCTTCTATTTTACTTTAGCTTGTGATTTAATGGCTGATAGTGAGAACACAGACCTCGAGAATGTTGGAAAAGTGGTGCAGATCTTGAGGTTGATGCGAGTATTTCGCATCCTAAAACTGGCTCGCCACTCATCGGGCCTTCGCTCTCTCGGCGCTACACTGCGAAACAGCTCCAGTGAAGTAGGGCAGCTGGTGCTTTTCTTGTCTGTGGGCATTTCAATGTTTTCTGCTCTCATTTACTATGTGGAGAATGAATCTCAAGAGTCAGAGCTGCAGACTATGCCTATTGGCTGGTGGTGGGCCACCATTAGCATGACTACAGTGGGCTACGGGGACACTTTCCCTGTTACACCAGCTGGGAAGCTGGTAGGATCCGTGTGCATCCTCTGTGGGCTGCTGATCGTGGCTCTGCCCATTACCAACATCTTCAATAAATTCTCCAAGTTCTATGAGAGGCAAAAACTGATAGAAGCTAAAGCTGAACCCTCTACAGCAAGTACAGGAGTGTTACCAAGCAGTGAGTCTTAAGTTGGGTCTGTGGCACTCAGTCAGGGGTCCGTTAATACGTTTGGCCAAGGAAAAGAGATTAGCAGAGGGATTTTAACTGTGATAAATGGCTTAGAATTCAAAGGTCAAGCAAGTGTTTTTCTTGTGTAGTGGCAAATATCTTCATGGACTAAGGACGTTTTTGACATTTTGGGATTTTTGCTTAATCATTTTCTTGTTTTCAGTTAAATAAAAAGAGTGAACATTTGAACTTCCCAACCATGTAAAGTAAATAAGAGATTACATTTTTTATTAGGCCAACCCGGGAGATTACATCACACTAGTTCCCTCCCTGAAAAAACATTGGAATTTTCCATTGGATTTTTGCAATATCGTGAGCTCTCTAGTAAACAAAGTTAATGAAACGTACACGTGCTGTTCAGCCTGATAATCTACACAAATGACACCACAGTCACATGACATTGTGTCATTGCTTTTAAGCCTAATGTGAGCTATAGTGTTCAGTTTGCTAAGGTTTAAAAGCCATATTTAGCACTTGATAGCAAAAAAGGGTGAGAGGGGGGGTTATTTATTCAAGGTATTTCTATTCTACAGAGCTTATTTCAGGCATCAAACCAAAAAGAAATTGACAGTCTCGTCAAAGGAACCAACTGATCTGGAAAAATGTAACTGGCACCACTAGCCTGTCACCCTATTTTAAGCCTAATAAGAGTAGAAACAGGTGAACATGGCTAAAGCTTTGTCCAAACGTAAGACATCCAACTACCAGCATATTTCTTGGCCAGCGGACACTCCAGGTAGTAACTGGCCCTTGCCAGGAAATAGTCTTCCACATTTCCCCTGTTAATTAGCACAGTAGTAGATCAGATTAATAAAATATATTAAGTTTAAACAAATAAACATGTCAGTTAGTAAACTTTATAGGTTAATGTGGCTAAATATTTTTGCCGGATGGTAGCTCCTGGCTGAGCTAAGCAAAGCTAACAGGGTGCTAGCTCCAGCTATGTACACAGTTATTGTCAGAAAGGGGAGTTGTATCAATTTAATCATCTGACATAGTCTTAGTCTGTTACAATTTGATAATGCATTTAATGGCTTTAAACTTTGCATTGCATTTGGGTTCAATTGTCCATACTCTCAAATAGTCTGTCACATTCTTGTATTTACTGCGAGTTTACAAAACTCTGATTGTGTGCGCACCAAAAAGTATGATGCAGCATTCTGTAGTTGTTCAAGTCCTTTGTCCATAAATGCCTGTCTCCATTTCAGTTCTCATCTGCTATTGGTCCATGTGTCTTATTCTTGTCTCTGTTGTATTTAGTTTTAATTGCATAATTGCATAATCCAACAAGAGGCTTCTCTTTTGCTGAGTCATCAGTGTAATTAGTCCTTAATCAATGTATACGTCAATAAAAATCCTTTCAAGTTGCTGAATTCACAATTCATCCCATGATGAGTATTGAAAAAAATAAAAAGGTCAATAAAGTTATGTGCTTGGGTTTGTATTTCTTCTGTGCAGCTGTTATATTTCACATTTTTGTTGAATGCATGGTGCTGTGGTCTGATGCGCTGCTTTTTGCCGCAGTTACCTTCATCGGCATTACATATGGATCTGTGTTTTATCTGATCCCTCTTCCACAGATAAGAATGTGTCAGTCAATAAAAACACACCAAATATAGAAGTTGCCCTCCACAGTGTCAAAACTTTAGAAACCTTCATCTCAATCCAACTGATCTTTAGTGAGATTATCTCTACTGCCCGTTAATGATTACAAAATGATAATGTTTTGCAGCTGTCAGAAAATAGTAGCTTCAGCCCTTTTGAAAACATCCTGTCAGCACTCAGGGGTATGTCACCTTTTAAGCCTGGGTACCTCCTCCTCCGTCCTTCTTTCAGGCACAAAGTCAAACAGTATTGCACTCAGATTTAGTTCATTGCTTCATTCTTTATAAGTGAACGTCACCGTCAGCAATATCCGTGGTCAAGGACAGCCAGGTGTCTTCTACACGGGAACATATAGAAAGTGTGCTGTTAGAAGCCTAGGGACCCCCCCCCCCCGCAATATTTCACTTACCCTTCCCTACCATGATTTTTAACCACTCTACGTTTTTTGTCAATTGCATATTCTAGCATGTAAAGAAATGTAGATTAAAAAGTAAAAAAATGGCAACAACAAATATGTAATAACTCAAAGTACATCTTGTTTCATCAAGGTCACAGTAGGCCTATAGTATTTTGAAAAACCTAATAGTCAAAGAAAGAAAGTGATAGTGTAGTCATATTATAGTATGGCATAAATGTCGATAAAAAAATCACAATAAATAAACCATTCAAAAGTCCTTAACGAACAAATCTTAACACAGTATGTCATGAAAAGTATTTGCATTATGTAATAGTTTGTTATTAGAAAATCCTTTTAAAGTATGTTAATACGACTCACGACAAAAATGTCACAGTATAGTATTCCCTAAATATATCATGGGAAAGACTTCAATAAGTGTTTGATGTTCTAAAAGTAAGATCCGACCAAAACATTGTGCGGCCTCAACCGGAACACTTGTTTTTACAGCAGTTTGCTGTTGTTTCAATATGTTTCATGATGATTAGCCTTTGTAGCCATTTAATGCTTTGCTAGTTTCACAGTGGCTTCACAAGACTCAAATCAATTTCATTTTAATTGCTTACTCAGCACAATCATATTCACTCACAATGAACAAATTGGTATAGAGATCTCATTGATTTATCCAAGTAGTCAATGATTGACACAGGAAAGAAGGGTAGAAGATCAATCTGTACGTCAGGTTACAGCTGTATGTAGCCTACTCAATAACACACAATACGGATCAGAGAAGCGTATATAGGCAGGGGTGTCCAAACTACGGCCTGGGGGCCAACTGCGTCCTCCTGTCCATTATGAAATGGCCCTCAGTTATTTCTAAAAGTATAATGGAATATGGCCCAAACGAGTATGCTTGACTTATATTGTAATTTTCTAAGAAATCTTAGTTGATCAAAAAACGCCCAATAACTTATTTGCATAACAAGCTTGAAATGTACCCTTCCTATTTCCCCTTATTATAAGCAATCTGAGGCTTCTATTTTAAGGGATGAGCTGAAAACACTTTTTGTAACAAAATGAAAATAATAAAACCCTGTTAATGGAAAGCTGTGATGTAAGCTGTTTTTTTCTTAAAGCATTTTCAATTATAAAGTTTGGACATCCCTGTGCCATAGGGTATGATATGGGGCTCGTATTATAGCATTTCATGTGATGAAGAAAAACTGATGAACTTACTGTGCAGTGCAGTTTATTAAATGTTCTCAGTTGTCTTTGCAAACTAAGAAGTCATTTTTTGTGATTTAAATAACACAATGTCTCTTTCAAACTCCCTGACTCAGCCGCAGCAGGCGGAAATATCCCAGAAAGCAGTGTTTCATTTCAGGCAAAGCTTCCACGCTAAGATTTCATTTATTGATGTCTCAGGGCCACCAGTCCACAAACGCATCATACTGTATAACCAATAATTACGCTGGCACATTGTGATATCCATCCGACTCAGAGGATATTCAGGTGGAGAAACACTCCCAGTTTTGTTTGTTGCAGGTCTGCCGTCCTGATAAAAGCCTACAGTAGGGGAGACCAGGGACAGTTGCAACACTTTTTGGGCTTTTCCCCAATAAGTAAAAAAACATTTACAATAGGATAGTCATTTTGCTATATTATACATTATCAATATGTCAGCTACTGAAACAATGTATTTAAGATGCTTTAATGAAATAAGTACAGGTTGGAAAATGTATTTTTTTTTTAAAAACTCAACTGTTACAACTGTCCTTGTGTACAGGGACAGTTGTAACACATGCCAGGCACGGTTGTAACATGTTAATAATGGTTACCTTTGTTCACACGACATGACAACAAATAGGGAAAGCTGTCAAATTCTAAGGCAACAAGATTTGAATGGGGTTTCACACATCCCCCAACAAACAATGAACAATGAACAGGATAACAGATAATACACACAGCATCATCCTCTGTGAAGGATTAAACTGTTCTCTGAGAGGTGCTTCTACCTTAATTATGTAGACCTACCTCCTTTGAGCTGAGACCATAATATAATAAGCTGCCTCCATCAGATAGTCTCTCAAAAGCATCTCCTGCTCTGTTGAGAACACCTTCTTTGGTGTCCAGTAGCCTACTCTTGGGGGTGTTTGTGGTCCCTGACGCTCCAACCTCAGCCTCTTTTTATGGAACCGGTACAGGGTGACACGGCATATATCCAGGGACTTTGCCACTTCCCTGAATGATTTGCCCTTCTCAACTTTATTTGAGGCACTCCCCTGTCTGTCTTCCTCTTTCTGACATTTGGCATACTGTAAACACACACACACACACACACACACACTTTAGGCTAAAGTGTGTGTGTGTGTGTGTGTGTGTGTTTACAGTATGCCAAATGTCAGAAAGAGGAAGACAGACAGGGGAGTGCCTCAAATAAAGTTGAGAAGGGNATACCTGGGCGGCCCGCCCAAGTAAAGTCAATGTGTGGGAAACCCTGCTATCTTACCAGTTCTTATGCAACTCGCATATACAGGACTGTCTCAGAAAATTAGAATATTGTGATAAAGTTCTTTATTTTCTGTAATGCAATTAAAAAAACAAAAATGTCATATTTAATTGCATTACAGAAAATAAAGAACTTTATCACAATATTCTAATTTTCTGAGACAGTCCTGTATATGCGAGTTGCATAAGNGAACATCCCCAAAAAATGGGAACATCCTCTAATAAGCTCACTAAACAAATATCAGTTCACAGAAATGTTATTTCATTTTTACAAGTGGCAAGTTTGTATTGAACAGGTTATTAAACAGTGGAATAAAACGATTTTAAACTATTGGAAAGCACCGAAAATGTCTGTGTATTGAGATTAACCATTAAGATGACATACACATGAAGTCATGAACACTAACCCAGACATTAGTTGTCTAACTTGAACCTAAGACACTTGTAGCCAGTCTCTGATGACTCACAATAAGAGGAATGTCAACACAGACACCTGTCAGCCCGCACTCTGCTGTTCCTCAGCGCCACTCCCCCTCCCTCCCGCTGAAATTATGAATGAAAAGTGTAGTAATCATAGATAACATGGCAGGGTCCTTGACAGTTTGTTTTCATCTGATTTCAAATAAACAAAGTCTTGGTTTTAAGAATATTAAACTTGTTTCGTCAAATTCAGATGATAAATACAACTTTGAAGCTTGTAAAGGCATAATTACAAGAGGCAACTTAACGTCACAGCAGNTGATATTTGTTTAGTGAGCTTATTAGAGGATGTTCCCATTTTTTGGGGATGTTCCCTTTGATTGTAAAATGTCAATGAAGATGTCAGACTTAGTATATTTGTTAATAATTACATACAACAACACATGGAATTTTTGTGTGTGTGTGTTCCAAGTGAATCTGCGGCCCCCTGGTGGCCAGTACATCAATTATGTGGCCCCCACCACCATCAAAGTTGCCCATCCCTGTCTAGCTTGTTTGTGATTGGAGATATTGAAGGTGTTACAACTTACAACCGACCCGTGTTGCAACTGTCCCTGGTCTCCCCTAGCCTATGTGTGGTGTAGGATGGAAAATCATAAGGGGTAGTAGTTTAATTTATTCTCAACATTACAACCTAATTTTCTGATAGATATTGGAATATTAAACTTGAAGGAATTATTTTCATTAATCTTCTAATATATATAGGCCTATATAATATGATACATATATAGGTCTTTTTTTGAATAATTCGACAGACTATATTATATCGTTTTTTCCCTCATATTTTTGATTTGGTGATCCCAAGAATGGCTGCTCACTGTCCCGATACATTTTTTTATTTTCTTGGGATAGTGATAAACCGAATTGCAGTTATTTCTGTTGCCCAATTCTCTGCGCCTCAAAGAGAAAAGTATGGCATATGGAAGCCCATTTCTGACACGAGGAAGAAAAAAAAAGTAAATAATGACATAACATCTTAAAAAAATGACTTTTTTTTACTAATGTCATGAATTAGCCTACAACCATTTTTTGACTTAGTATCTCACCTTGCCATTGCCAACCTCTTATTTTGAATTCCTTCGTATTTATAATGGACATTTGTGGAATGATCATCTTTTGATGCGTCGTCGGATGCTTGAATAATTGCAACAGCAAATCACTAGCTCAACGTTAGCTAGGATAGCAGTTGGTATCCAGCAACAGACATCACGTATCATCACGATAAAACATTCTGACAGATATAACCCAATATCTTCTTTCCGGCTCTAGCGCCATTTTGTCTATTGTTTTACAGCCCATCCATTTAGCTATGTAGGAAAAATGCCAACTATTAAGGTAAGAAAACATTGATACCGACACGTCTTTTAATCCTATGACAGTTGCTCAGTGGACATGAAGCCAAAATGGCTGACTTCAGAACAATAATATACTTTCTTACTATTTTTATATCTCATGTCATTATTTTGGGATTGTTTTTCAGTGACAGAAATGTGCTTACATACCGTTTAACTCAAGCACTAAATCATTTCATAAAATAGAACATTGGTCATAGTTCAGGAACAACACAATATAGCACCAAATCATAACTCTTTTATTAAAATCCATCTTCACATTTGATGTTATAACATCCCAGTACACACATTGTAACAGTGAACAGTTCCTTCAAAACAATTAAGCTCCATGTCAAATTCAGTGCCTTTAACTGGTCACTGTTATGTTCTGTTTCATAACAAATGAACCTTGCAACTTGAAAAAAAGAGTGAACAAAAGACACAAGGTAAGAACATTGATATCCAAAGCAGGAAGGAAGAACAGAACGTGTAAGAACACAACAGACGTTTAAAGAACAAGGCGGGACAAGAACTGTTATTGTGCGACATTCAGAGGAACTACTGTGCGATTCTTTAAAACTGTCGTTTTATTGAATAAAAGCAAATTGTCAATAAATCTACAATGATGCTTTTGAAAAATATTGACCACGCCCTAACTAACTGTTGAATATGGGGAGAAAACATTGGGGTGGGCATCTAGGCCAGGTCCTCTTCGCCTTCATCCTCAAACTCGCCCTCCTCCTCAGCGGTGGCGTCCTGGTACTGCTGGTACTCAGACACCAGGTCGTTCATGTTGCTCTCAGCCTCTGTGAACTCCATCTCATCCATGCCCTCGCCGGTGTACCTGAAACAAGGAAATGTTACTCGCATGCATTCACTATTATATTCACTCTTTCCTGACATTTATTTGTCCAAACGATTCTTCTTGAAATCCGTAAACCCTCCATCACTCACCAGTGGAGGAAGGCCTTGCGGCGGAACATGGCGGTGAACTGCTCTGAGATGCGCTTGAACAGCTCCTGAATGGCCGTGCTGTTGCCAATGAAGGTGGCAGCCATCTTGAGGCCACGGGGAGGGATGTCGCAGACGGCAAGACTGCCGTCTGCGACATCCCTCCCCGTGGCCTCAAGATGGCTGCCACCTTCATTGGCAACAGCACGGCCATTCAGGAGCTGTTCAAGCGCATCTCAGAGCAGNTATGTTTACAAACACAAGTCCAGACCCAAATAAATAAAATCAAATAAGAACTCATTCTCAAAAAAGATAAACGCCATTCTTAAAATGTATAAACGAACAATAGTTTTATTAATATTGATTAGAGTGCACAATAGAAATAAAATAATTGAGAGAAGAAAAAGATATATATTATCTATCAAAACCCAGTTAGATTAACCTTCATTGGATTGCACACTTTTTTTGTTTGTGTGGATATGTAGCACATTAACATTTTAATAGCACTTAATGACTGACTGAATGGAATGGACAGTAAATGAAAATATAAAACGAAAAAAGCGATCATGAAAATGTTTCCAATAAATGAATAAAATGATTTTTGACCACTTTGTTGTTAAGATATATCACATATTTGTAACTAAATGATACATGAATTGAAACAAAACACAGTTTAAACTGAGGAGTGACTCTCGAGTTTCATTTATTTTCTTCACTCCGCTGGGGTACTGCTCTCATGTCAAGAACAAGAAGCATGAGATCAGTGCATGCACTGCATCGTCCAATCAGTGAGCGATACACAGTAAGGGGGCGGGACGAGTATCTGAGGATTTCATCGGAGGATGGACTGGTGGTTCCTCGATTATCGCTCCTCCATTATCGCTCCTCGCTCCTCAATCCTCGGTCCTCCGGCAGAAATAAGAGCTCAACTTCCGGTGAGACCGAGGATCGAGGATAGAGGAAATGAAAATAGTCGGCCTGAGACAGGGCCCTAGAGAAATGACAAAGGGCTCATTTCGGAAGACTCACGTGCATCGACTTGACGCCGGGTCGACCGGCAACCCTCCCCGACAGGCGCATAGATGCGAGGGCCCGCTCATCACTGCGCGCACGACTGTGACCGCAGTTTTAATTAAATGTAGCCTATTATGTTAACAGATTTCACATAACTGACATCCCAAACATAAGGTTCAACTTCATATCATTGCTTTAAACTAACCTAATACAGTTATGTTAACTCTGTTGAAATAATACATTTAATTAGAGTCAACATTTCAGCGTAGTTCATTTGCATTTAAAGCTTCAGACACATAATCCACACTTTTGAAACAGAGCTGAAACATAGGGTTGCTTCAATGCATGATGTGTTTGGTATTTCGAGAGAAACACTTCAGAGACATGTTCTGTATGTAGATATAATATTGTTGAAAAAGAGTATAATAGGGGACCTTTAATTGAAGTCACCCCAGTTTATATTTTATAAAGTTACATCCAGAAGCCAAGCTAAATTTGATGACATTATATTGTGCCTAGTGTAGTAAAACAGATCTGATGAGTGTTTACTGCCCTCAAATGGTCACAGAAGGGAATGACAACACTAGGTTAGAATGGGAATGATTTATCGACACGCTTTGTTGGTTTGCCTGGTGAACGGGGCTCTCTGTACTGTATGTTTAAAAGACTATAAGGGAAGTTTAATGAAAAAATTGAGTATTATAGTACGGCACATAACATTAAAATAAAATAAAAAGTTTTTCCAATTTACAAGTGTATACAAATGTAATATGTTCAAAACAGTCATTGTAAAAATATCTTGAAATGAGTCATAGTTGAAACAATAATAGAGCATGTTAAACATTTCATGACAAAAATGTGTAATATGTCGAAAATATGAGAAAAACGACATATAGTATGTCAGAAAATATCACAAAAAACTTAATAAAAAATAGTATAGTGTGTCATCTTAGTAAACAATAGTATAATAATTTAGTATGTTGGGAAAAAAATGATAAAGTCTAGTATGTCGAAATAGTTGGAAAAGACAACATAGCATGTGGCAGTGGTTCAGTCAGTAGGGGCTTGGACTGGGAGCTGTAGGGTCGCTGGTTCAAGTCCCCGAACAGACCTATGGAGTGTGGGCTGCTACTTGGAGAGGTCCCAGTTCACCTCCTGCCCTGCTGTGGTGCCCTTGAGCAAGGCACTGTCCATCCCCACTGCTCCCCGGGTGCTGTACACTGCTCCTAGGATGGGTTAAATGCAGAGGCCACATTTCACTGTGTGTGCTTGTGTGACCATAAAAGAGGGTTTTATCCCTCCAATTCTATTCTATATAGTAAGTGGAAAACATAATAAAAAACGTTGTTCATCATTTGGTTAGTGATGGTGATGGTGTGGTAAAGTAATCCTCGGTCATATATACATGGTATACATACATTCATTACCTGCACTGTCTGTTGTTGTAAAGTAAATTACAAATGTGCAAATAAAGGCTATTCTTCTGGGTTTGAATTGAGTGGAAGAAGTCCGGACAAGGAAGGTATTGATAGGCTCTGACTCCAGCAGTGCATTGGAAAGCATTACACATAGGCCTTCAGAAACAAGACAAGACATAGTACCGGAAATAGCACAAACACTTCAACAAATTTGAAGGGCAGGAGCAGTCACCTATTTCATCTGGATTCTTGCACACATTGGGGTGGAGGGAAATTATCTGGTATATGCAAAGTTGGAGACAAAGAAGAGACAAATTAGTATGAGTGTGAAATATTGCAAGGCTAAGATCATAAGCATCGTGAAAACCCAAATGAAAAATAAATGGCAGGATGAGTGTAATAGAGGAGTAAAGGACAGACATTGTTATAATGTTTACAGGTAAGTTGGAGAAACAAGAGAAGTCAACACATCACAAAAAAAAGAGGACATCATTATCCGAATGAGATTGGTCAGGGAATAATAGCACATAGTGGAAAAAAAATACGACAAATGTGAATATTGTCGCAAGCTAGCAATGACAAAACAATTGCTGACGTTTTTTTTTACAATTTCTAAGAACTGAAGCAAGTACTGAACAGAAACCACATAGAATTAAATATATATTTTTGCGACGGAGTTCAGGGGATGTGGCGTAGGCCTACAGGGCAGTATTTAGGTCTTAAAAATGGACAAGGATTATAATGTAGGATTTTAGGTTTTACAGTGCTCATCTACACTCCATTCCAGAAGGTGGCGGTAAAGGCACCTACAAATTGTATGCAAACCGCAATTGACACCCCCTTAAGTTTTTTTGACCAATAAGATGTCTGCTGAGGCTGAGTGACATGAATTTGGACCAATCCCGTTAATCGGGTAACGGTTGGCAGCAGCACTCCCATCTTCTCTGGTTAGTTCGTAGCTGCATCAGTACGATCAGTACACATTCAAACCTTTGTCTTTATCGGTCGGTTGGACATTTTGAATTCAACCAAAATGAGGGAAATCGTGCATCTGCAGGCAGGCCAATGTGGAAATCAAATTGGAGCTAAGGTAAGAGAGTAGTCTAGATTTACATTTGAATCATTAACTCATTCATTAAGTTCTTGAATGTTAATGTTCGTTTGGGCGGGTTGATTAGCCTACTTAGCAGCAATGCTAATGAAAGCTACCTACGGGTTCAACCTGTTCGAATCGTTAAGCTAAGTCATGCTAGTTAGCAGGTAATTTGACCGTTGTTGTGTTTTATTCTCTTCTAGTTTTGGGAAGTCATAAGCGACGAACATGGCATCGACCCGACCGGCTCATACCAGGGGGACAGCGACCTGCAGCTGGATCGCATCAACGTCTATTACAATGAGGCTTCAGGTTAGCTTTGCTTTAGCTCCTAGCTACTGTTGCTAGCGCCACCGTTTCTAGGATACGGCAACAAGTCAACAAAACGTCAAGATAATTATAATTTCCTAAACAACAATACAGCTTTAACTTATTATAATATTCTTTCGACATATTTTAGCCAGTCACTTCGGTTATTTTGTATTATTATATATTAGGTGTAACAAGGGGTTAAATTGGGCCGAGGCTGAGCCCGGCAAAATAGGGCGATGCTCTGACGTCATCACCCCCGTACCGATGTCAAAAGATATCAAAAAAAGATTTGTAAAAACGTTTCTCGTTCTTAACTATACTATATTTAGGGTCAATATGTGTTGACTTTATTTTAAAATCGGTCTTGGTGAACGTGTGTATCTGCGTTGGAGCTGCAGCACCGCCCAGACTCCGCTGAGGGCGGGTGGTGCAAAGGCTCTGCGCCAAACCCGTCTGGTAACACGGAGCCCGTGTCTTACACCATGCTATATGTATGCCTGTGCTTAAAGCTGAGTTATGATCAGTCATAATAACACCGAATGTGGTTATGATCAAATTGTGCATCGTGAGATTTACATCATACTGTAAATTCTGAGATTTCCGAATAAATATTTTTAAGCTACGCCGACCAATACAAAGCACGCACACATTTTTGTGTATATATTAATAATATGTATATTAATTCAAGTTGAATGCCACTATTGGAAAGATGGCCCTATTTGTAATACTATTTTTATTGTCTCATTTGGTGGCATCAATGTGCGCATTTGATACAGTAGCAGATTGTGATGTGCGACCACGCCCGCACCTCGACACAGAGCCCCCCCACCACCACACATAGACAATGCCAATTTAACCCCTGGTTAACCTTGTGCTGTAAGAAGACTGGATTGTATTAACATGCCAGACAAACTATTATAAAATATAATTGAGCGTACAATATGCTTTTTACTGTGTTTGGTCATACTTTAAAGAAAGCAAAGTCTTTGATGAAAAAAGATAAACATGGTTTTGCTTGAGTAATTATAATGCAGCGATTAAGAAAGAAAAAAAAAAAATGGTTAATATAAATAACGTCTTCTTTTGTTTGAATCACCAGGTGGGAAGTATGTCCCCAGGGCCGTGCTGGTGGACTTGGAGCCCGGTACGATGGACTCGGTGAGGTCCGGTCCCTTCGGCCAGATCTTTAGACCAGACAACTTTGTCTTTGGTGAGAATATGAAAATGTCTTGTGTTTTAACTTTGGTTATTGAAGTTGCCATACTGTGATTAAGCAACTGGATTAGGGCTGAACAATATATTCCAAAAAATAATTTGTCGTCTTGTGCGATATACACATTGTGAAAGGCTGAATTGTTGCATTTAAGTATTTTTGAATGAGTTCAGACAGTTGCATTTTCAAATGCAGTTATCATATTTCTGTTATTGCTGCTTAATTATTTTACTTACATTTATTAAGTTTTACATAAAGCCATGCCATTGTATGTTTTCCGCATATTGTGCAGCCCTGATCTACAGTCACTCTTCACTAGGGATGGGCTCGTTAGGATTTTATCGATTCGATACCGGTATTTTTCAATACTCTTATCTATACTTTTCAACAATTTGGTGCTCAAAATTATAGACATGATTACAAGATGTGAAGATTAAACAACACTAATTTTATTGCAATTTTTTTTAATTTAATGTAACTTTTTTCAATATCATACCAAGCAGGTATGAGTGTTTGACAATGTGTCTCTGGAAGGGGGGTGGTAATTAGGGGCAGTTCATAAATCCATGTAAACATGACCATTATTCGGTTAGAACGAGACGCTGCGTGCGCACCTCCTAAACCGGAAGCTTTTGCCAGTTATATGCTAAAGCAGCCGTTTTGCTAAGTGTTGATTTAGACTCTTGGTGTTGGAATTCTGTTCCGTGTAGGTAAAATGGTTAATATCGTCTCTTAGCTGAGTTTCTTCCCATTAAGTGGGTGTGCATCATTAATAGGTTGTTAAATGTTAAGAAGCCTTGAGACGCTGTTTCTTGCAAGATGTTGCGTCTGCCCCTGGGAGTCTCACAATAATAAGAGCGCTGTTAGGAGAGATGACGAGTGGCCAATCAGAGTGGTAATCCAACCGGATACGTCACACGGGATGAGGGTTCCGAACCAACCAGAATTGTAGCGTAATTCATATGCCGATAGCAGCACTGTTTATCCAGCGGCTTAACGGTATACCAATACCGTCCAATCAGGTACCGGTAATGACTTAGTACCCGTTCTCGATACCCATCCCTACTCTTCACTCTTTAACATTTGACCAATTAAGTTTAAGTCCTATTTTAATGTAGACCTAGGATGTGTTGATGTCACAGCTTTGATAAGAGTTGTGTGTTTGCATGTGACACAGGCCAGAGTGGAGCTGGTAATAACTGGGCAAAGGGTCACTACACTGAGGGAGCCGAGCTGGTGGACTCGGTCCTGGATGTGGTGAGGAAGGAGGCGGAGAGCTGCGACTGCCTGCAGGGCTTCCAGCTCACACACTCCCTGGGTGGAGGAACCGGCTCGGGCATGGGCACGCTGCTCATCAGCAAAATCCGAGAGGAGTATCCAGACCGCATCATGAACACTTTCAGCGTGGTGCCTTCCCCCAAGGTCCAACCGCAACATACGAGGTGTTGACACAGACTTTGGAAACTCCAGCCCCCCTCCCTCTTCCTACATGTAATTCCGGTCTTTATTCTGTTCTTGTATCAATTACAACATCCATAAAACCAC